TGACTCCCACCTAATCTCTTCCCACCTAACTGTCGACCAGTCAGCTCTTTTATTACACCAATCAGAAGGTTCCTTGGCAAAGGTACATCTTCATAGTGTACACAAAAATTATTCCATAACAAGAGACATATGTTTGCATTGTGGAGCAAGTACCTAGTGGCCACTCAAGCCTCATGCCATGTGGGAAGATGGCATCTTGCCTTCTGGTTACTAAGACCAGAGGTGGAGACTCTCGGAAGTGAGACTTTTGATGCAGAAGTATTCAAGGTTCCCAGAACTATGGTTGAGCAGGAAAGTAGGTGTGATTGATTGGTGATGTCTGCCACAGCTAAAGCGGGGAGGAGGTAGACTGTGGGCTTGCTGTCTCCAGCAGGCTTCTTCTAGCCCACCACCTCCCACTAGCCTGGAGTGTTATCCTGTTTGGGTTCTTTATCTGTTTGTGGGCCAGTTCCTGCCAGGCATGGCTGAGACCTGTTAACCCTGCCCTGCACGTGGAGGAGGCCTCTGGACCCAGAGGTGTCACCTGACATTGCTTATAGGTGCATATGAACACAGGCAGGGTAGAAGCCTGTGTAGAATTGAGCCTGGTGTCCATGTGGCAGGTACTAACACAGGCTCACATCTGCCATGCTGCTGGGACCCTGTGTCCTCAGTCACCTGTGACTGCAGCACAGATCAGGATGTGGATTGTTCCCAGTGCCCCAGGTCCCTAAACACACCTGGCCAGCCTGTTTCGCCTCTCCTGGTCTCATGGTTGGCCTTTGAGGAGCCCTCGCCTCGCTAGAGCTTGCTTAATCTGTGTGATGAGTCTACCATTTACTGTATCCTTGATATATGTCATAATTGCTGTTGTTTTGGGATGAGGGGGCTGGATGGATGCTGAGAGACTGGGTGGTCCAGGGGTGGACAGGGCCCTGGGGGAGCTGTAGGGAGCATCTCAGGATGGTGTCTTGCTTCAGGGAGGTCCCTGAGATGTGAACTGCCTTCATCTGAGTGTTCCTCTGCCGTCATGCCTTGGGTCCCTCAGCAGCCCCACCAGTACAGAGGATGCCGACAGTGCCTGTAGGCTGGTGTGGTGCTGAGGCTGCTGTGACCAGGCCCAGGGCCCCCGCTGGCCCATTCTTTCCATGTCACGAGCTGTTTTTGGTGCCCAGTGCCTGTCTTGTTGGCTTTTGTGCACGTCCTCCGTGGGTGGCCCGAGCCGTCTATTGTCCCAGCACAATAGTGGTAGGTCCAGCTCCCGTGAAGAAAGCGGACAGGAAGCTCCATCTAGGTCAGCCCAGTGCCGTTTATGCTTCCTGCCAGGCGCCTGTGCTGGGCGGGGCTACCTTTGTCTCCCTGTCTGGGTGGCTGGAGACAGCTTCCCATGGCACCCCAGGCCTGGCTGCTGCACCCTCTAGAAGCCTCTCCCCCGTACCCTTGCCTTCTGTTGGTTTCTGAGTGTTTGCTGTGGACCAGACACTGCGCTTGGCTGCAAGAGTCCAATGTAAGAGGAGATGTGAAGTCCCTGCCTTTCTGACCTACGTTACTTTATGTTGTTTCATTTACAACACACACCAAACACGTATATACACATAGCATAACAAACAACCCACACATATATACGCACACATACACACTGACACACACACATATATACACACACCATACGCACAAGCACATATACACTAACACATGTATACACATACATAGACACTGACACACACACACACCACACACATACATATATACATACCATATGTATACAACCCACATGCATATATACACACATATATATACACTGATACATACATATACACCACACACACACCACACACACCCCACACACATAGGCACTAACACACATGTATACATAGACATACACATACATACACACTGACACACATGCATACATACCAACATACACACTGACATACATATATATACACCACACACACATATAACACAACACACCCCATATACTCAAAACAGATATGCACTAACACACAAGTATACACAGACATACACTGACACACATACATACACACTGACACACACATACATACACATCACACATATATACACACACCATATACACAAACACATACTCACAGACATACACATGTATACACACACACACACACACACACACACACACACACTTCCTAGGGAGAGTAAACTAAGATTCAGAGAAGCTGGTTCACTTTCCTGAGGTCACACAGCAGGATGGAGGAAGATCTGTGGTTTAACCCAAAACCCAGTGGTTTTGAACCTGATCTGTAGAGGTTAAGATTCCAAACCAGCCCCACTCTTGTTTTTGGTTTTTTTTTTTTCATGACCAGTTTGATTCTTAAAAGGTTGTTTGAGCTCAATTTTTAAATAATTCAACGTAGGGAGGTAATGACTGCAGAGGGTAGGGAGGACCTGTTGGAGGAGATGATAAGATAGAGCTGGCTCAGGGCAGAATTGGAGGGGAAGCGTGTCAGCAGAACACGTGCCCAGGTCCCGGGGCAAGGATAGGTGTGAGAGTGCGACTCTTGTGGGAGGATGGAGTTCACGGAAGATCTGAACTTACACAAACAAACAAACAGAACAGAAGGCAGGAGTATTAATTGCTTTTCTCATTGCACAGGCACTGACTTGGCCAGAGTAATTTAGGACAGTAGGAGTTTGCTGTGGCTCACAGTTCAAGGGTACAGCCATCATGGTGGGGGTGGGGTGTGCGTGGTGTGGTGGCTGAAGTGTGAGGAAGCAGAGAGAGAGGAACACTGGTGCTCGGCTTACTTGCTGCTTGTAATTCCGTCTGGCACCCCAGCCCGTGGGTGGTGTCAGCCACACTGAGGGTTGTGAATGTGGCTCCTTGGTGATTCTAAGTCAGGGCCTTCAGCTTCATATCAGGGAGTCACGGAGAGTTGCACTCAACATTGACTGGCTTTTTAAGGGATCCTGAGGGGTGAGGAGACTGGAACCCCCTGGAGGCAGAGGTGTCACTGACCAGGTGGGCTGGGTGCGGCATGGGCTGTGGACTCTGAGGTTCCATGGGGAGTTAGGACTGGGAAGGCCGTGGTCAGGTGTGCTTGGGTGCTGTAGATTGGGTTCTTGATGTCTGTGCTTCTGGGAATCAGGTGGACCTATAGACTCAAGCTCATTAGTAAAGTGATGGCGTCTAGTTCAGAACCATGATCTACAACCCTTTGGCTTGTGGGTGCAAACAAGGCCACCTTCCACTTGTGGCCTGCTCGTGAATACCAGCCCGTGTATACCAGCCCATGTAGCTACATGATGGCTCTGTTTATGAGGCCATCATGGGTGTCAGTCCGGGTGATGAAAAGGATCCGACAGCAGAGTTGAAGTGCCAGCCGCCCCTTTGTCACCTGCTTCTGCCTCCCCAGTACCAGCGCAGTCCCTGCCGTCTCCCTGGCATGTGGGGAATCTCCTTAGACAAGCGTGGTAGGATGGGAGATGCTCTTAATTAACCCAAGACAGGGAGACCACAACGCTGGCCTGACTCAGTTCCCTTGGGCCTACACTGTAACCAGATGTGACAGGTTGATAGCCGATGGGTCCCCTGGGCTGGGACAAGTCTATGAACTCATTTTCCCAGGGGTCTCTATGTGACCACTGCCCACTTAACCTGGGCCAGCCCTCATATACTGAGCCTGAAGTCTCTGTGGGAAGCTCGCCTCAGTTTCCCTTAGGTTCTGACTTGGGTCTCTCTCTTTTCCTCCATCTCCTTTCCGTTCTTAGCTATCCCTGTAGCCTCCACAGTAGCTCCTCCTCTGCTGCCTGTCCCACCCAAGCTCCGTAACCACCGTCACCTCTCCTCGGTACACTCCACCATCTCTCCTCGGTACACTCCACCATCTCTCCTCGGTACACTCCACCCTCCCTCCTTGGTACACTCCACCCTCCCTCCTCGGTACACTCCACCCTCCCTCCTCGGTACACTTCACCCTCCCTCCTCGGTACACTTCACCCTCTCTCCTCGGTACACTTCATCACCTCTCTTCCTACATTCCATCATCTCCTCTCATTACACTCCATCATCTTGGTACACTCCCATCATCTTGGTACACTCCACCATCTCTCCTTGGTACACTCTGCTTCCTCCACTCTTACCCTGAACCCATGACGTCTACTTCTTCCCAGTGACAGGTCTTTCCCTAGCACTCCAGAAGCCACATTTGTAACCCCAGCACCAGGATATGGAGGCCGGAGGATTGAATTTTAGGCCAGCCAAAATATAAGGGAGGATAGGAGGGTACAGGGAGGGAGGAAGGGAAAGTGAATTAGGAGACATGTAAAAACTCCTAATTTCAAAAGCCAGGCAGTGGTGGCATATGCCTTTAGTTTCAGCACTCAGGAGAAAGAAGAAGGTAGATCTCTGGGAGTCTGAGGCAGCCTGGTCTACAAGAGCTAGTTCTAGGACAGGCTCCAAAGCTACAGAGAAACCCTGTCTTGAAAAACCAAAACCAACCAACCAAACAAACAAAAAACAGACAAAACAACAAAAATTCCTAATTTCGTTTTCTCAAACAAAGGAGGACTGTGGGCTAGAGATGCAGCCCAGTATGAGAGTGCCTGTCCAACATGCAGAAGGGCGTGGAGTTTCATCCCAGCCCCCCTCCCCCATCATCCCATCTGGCGACACTGGGTAGCCGTCTTCTCGCCGGCCCCATGTGAGGGGAAGGGCTGTGGCTCTGCCTTGTGTGAGCACTCAGTCGGTTTAGAGTGTCTGGTGTGCTGCTGTTTTAGTGTGAAGAGAAAAGACAGTGGCTATAGATGTGTGTGCACATGAACACATGCTTGTGCGTGTGGCCATCCGTGACACCGTGAGTGAGGTTCCCATGGGGACAGTGAGGGCCTCAGTGGGTAGGGCTGGGGTATAAAAGAGATGCATCCTGTTTTTGACATTTTATTTTATTTTTTGTTTGAGTCATATAAATGTCTTAAAGCATAAAAGGGAAAACACTACAGAAGGAGGGTCATTGTTGAGTGGTCTGTGAGGTATTTGTGTGAGGATGCAGGTATGAGTGTGTTTCTCTAGGCTGTAGATTTGGGGGTGGGGCTCTGTGTTGTTAGCTCCTCACAGGTGGGACCTTGTAGATGCTCAGTAAGGTTTTTACTGAGTAGCAGGGGGTGGGGGTAGGGCTGCCCAGGAAAGTCAGCTGTCAGCAGTGGGTGCCTCTTCTAAGTCCTTACCCGTGTACCTGGACCGTATAACCTCTCAGGTCCTGGTCAGCATCTGAACCCGCGTTCTTCTGGCAGAGGTGTCCAGGATGGGGTGTGGTCACTTATCTCTGCTTGCTCTTGTCTTCACAGGCCTTCCTGCAGCGCATCAGGCAGAATGTGGCCGACTCCGTGGAGAAGGGCCTCACAGAGGAGAATGTCAAGGTGAGGGCTCGTGTGTTGCTGCTGTTGCTGCTCCTGCTGCTGCTGGCCCTGCTCCTTCCGGGTGACTCTGAACTCTAGTAGTTCAGAGGCCTCGCTCCTGGGCACTGCCTGCCTCCTACCCCCAGCCTGCTCTCCGAAGCCCTGGAAGGCCTCCCCTGGGAGGGAGACTGCACCCTAGCCCCCATTCTCAGTGCAGACTCAGCGTGGCCATTCTGCCTTCTCACCTCCTCCTGTCCATTGTGGTGTCTCTGAAAAATCTCTCCCCAAGTGTCCTGGGAGCCTGGTGCATCATGATGCCCTCCTACCCCTGCAGTGGGCACAGGCTATCAAGGCAGGCCCATGAGTCATTGGGCCGGCTTCATTCTGGCTGTGGCGCTGGGGAGTCTGGGCAGTATCAATGGGCCGTCTGTGTGCCTCTGAGGTCTGTGCTGGCCAGCGCTCTGACCTCGATTTCTAGAAACCTTTTATTTTGTGCTCTGAAAGGCCTGGACCAGGAGGAAATGGATATGAGGGGCTATGTGTATCTGAAGTACCCAGGATTCACCATCTATGTGGTCAGAGATGACTCCTGCCTAATGTCCTGACTCTTGTCAATTACATACATGTTAAGAATTCTAACCCGTTCTTTTACTGTGCTGGAAGGCATTGCCATTGCACAGCTGGTCCCGAGGGATGGGCTGGTGGGGATGGTAAAGGGATGCCTATTTTCTGGGACCTATTGCTTCATCTATCTTTCTGTCCGTCCATCCGTCCATTCGTCCATCCATCCATCCATCCGTCTATCCATCAACTCAACAGATATTCACTGAGCTCTTCCATTTTATTAACTGATTTATTATGTACTTATGTTAGAGCTTGAAAGCCGTTGCTATATCTTAAAATCGCACATTGTTAGTTTTTAAGAAATTGCCTTTCTGTCAGGTCTTAACCACCATTCAACAAGGGATGTAAGTCCTGAGGGATTAGCCGTACCATACCCGGGTTTGTCCAGTGAAGGCAAGGGGAGCGTCCATGTCGAGCGGGTCACTTCCCCTCCTAGCCAGCCCTCTCCCAACTGATGAGGCTTCCACTGCCATTGATTATTTTTGTCTTTTTAAAAGACAGGGTTTCTCTGTGTAGTCTTGGCTGTCCTGGAACTCGCGCTGCAGTTCAGGCTGGCCTCAAACTCACCCTGCCTCTGCTTCCCGAGTTCAGGGATCAGAGGGGTGTGCTGCCATGTGCAGCCCTGTTTTTGCCTATTCTTAAACTTTATGACAAGAAACTCGTTTGTGCCTGGTGCCTTTCGTCATACATCTGTGGAATTCATTTGTGTTGCAGTGTGCAGCTCTGGCCCATGCTTTCCCTTGTTCTGTAATATCCACACTGCGCCCGTTCCACAGTCTAGTCTCCTGTGCTGTTTCCACTAGGGGCTGTTCTGACCATTTCTCAGTTTGTCTTTTGAGTGGGTATTTCTCATTTCTTTTGGGTCAAGGGACAGACACTTATGCAGTCCTTTCACAAAGTAAGTGTGACATCAAGGTCTAGAATGTCACCTCCAGCAGAACCAGGTTCAACCATGGGAGCTGAATTAGGCTGAAGGGAAAGTGAGCAGTGGCCAGACAATTCCCCTGGCCACCTTTCTGTGATAAGCAGTCCCCACCCGGATGGAGCAGGGCCATGGGAATGCACTTGCTGGTGCACGTGGTCCTGTGGCCAGATAGGTCTGAAGATTACAAGTGTGGCCTGCAGGGAGCGGTGCCCCGATACCTCCACAGCTGGCTGGCTGGGATGTCGGTGCTTGCTCTCTGAGCTTCCAGTTCTCAAGGATAAATTGGGGCCAGGAATGGCTTCTTCCCTGTGGAGACTGGGGTGTTACCAGTGAGTTTGCCAATCCAGACCAGGTCTGCCACTTGCCTGTACAGCTGCTGCTGGTGGGGTCACAGCCCACAGCAGCTGCCTGGCTCAGGGGAACCTCACCCACTGTTGCCTGTTAATGTACTCTGGGGTGCGGGCTTTTCTGGGATTGGCCCTGCTTTCTCTGAACCCTGATTGACTTTGACCTCTCTGTCCCTCCTAGATCCTTTTCTCCAACATCGAGGACATCTTGGAGGTCCATAAGGACTTTTTGGCTGCCCTGGAGTACTGCTTACAGCCTGAGCCTCAGTCTCAGCATGAACTTGGAAATGTTTTCTTGAAATTTGTGAGTATAGGGGCTGGGAGGAAGGGTCAGTGGGTGCGAATGCTTGTGTAAGCTTGTGGACCCGAGTTTGAGCTTTCAGTCTGCATTGGCTCTGTTATGGTGTTTGTGTGCCTATTTCTATGGTCTGGCTCTCCCAGCCACCTCCCAAGAGTCTATGGGGCATGACCTGTGCACAGTCATCAGACCTTGGCCTGCTGGGTCTCATGCTAGGCTCTTGGTGAGTTTGTGTGAGCCCCTGGGCCTCAGTAGGTCTTGCTCTTCTGACCTCCCCAGGCCCAGAGCCCTGGGTCAAGAGTTTGGAAACAGGCTCTCCTCTGAGCTGCTCAAAATCCTCTGGAAACACAAATCTGGTCGCTTCTCCCCTCTTCTAGAACTTTCATTTGCCCCACTTTGTCAGAATAAATTCCCCACATCTCTGCAGGCCTGCCACTTCCTGGAACCTAACCTCTCACCCAGCCATACAGACTCTTTGTTAGTCTAGAACATTCTAAACTGTCCCCTTGGCAGGTCCTTTTAGAGTACTGGTAATACAGGGATAAGAGACCTTGATGGTCTGTCCCTTATAGGGCAGGCGAGATGGCTCAGCAGGTAAGGACACTTGCTACCGAAGCTGGTGACCAGCATTTGATCTCCAGGACCTGCGTGTTGGAAGGAAAGCTCTGCCTCCAGTAAATTGTTTTCTGATCTCTGCATACGTGACATGCTACTCTTGTGCCTCGACAGATAATCTGTTTTATATTATTTTATTTTTTGGGACCATCTAACTCTGGCTGGCTGGAACTTGCTATTTAGATAGGGCTGGCTTTGAACTCAGAGATTTGTCCACCTCTGCCTTGAGTGCTGGTATTAATACCTTTAAAGGTGTGGGCCACCACACCCACTAGAAATTAAATTTTAAAAAAAGAGAGAAGGAAAGAAATAAGAGTCTAGCTTAAGTTCATCTGCCTGCTCCACGGGCCAGCAAACAGAAAGGACAAGCCTGAGGTTGTCTCCACATGTGTGACAACAGAACTGGATGTAGAAATGGTGAACTAGATCTCTTCAGGTTACCTATTCACGCTCTGAGGTTGAGGTCTCCACCGCATCTGCCTGCTGGGATTACTGTGAAATCCTTTAAAATCAGTTCATTTAAAAACCGTGAATAAACATACTTAGCTGAGGTGGGGGGGGCAGGAGTTCTAGGCCAACCTGGGCTACTTAGACTGTGTCTCAAAAACTGGGGAAAAAAATAGAGGCAGCTGGATGGAGGAGACACTGACTTTGCCTGCACACCTGGCTGAACCCCTCCTTGCGGCAGTTCTGCAGTCGAGAAAGCAGCCTCCAGGCTGCTCAGCATGAGTCAGTGTTTTTAATTTCAAATCATGTTTTAATTTAAAATGTAGCACCCTTACTTTCTCTGCCCCCATGCTGGGGGGTGAGTCATGATGGCTTGGGATTTTTCCAGTAGCTGGAGGCAGGTGTGCAGGTGGCTTTCTGGGAGTAGCTGATGAGGTCAATCAAGTGCCACACTTGTCTAGACCTAAGCTGGGTACCATCTGGGAGAGTGCCAGAGTTGGGGTGGCCTTAGGAGCTGTGCACAGTGGCGGTGAAGGGGCCCCACTTTGGGTAAGGCAGTCATTTTCTTAGACCTGGGGCTCTTAGCAGGGATTTAGTGGCCATTGCCAGCAAACAGTACCATGCTATTATTAGTGGACCCACAGGGACAGTATGGTGTCCTCTCTAGCCCCAAAGGTCACTTGGCTTTACTCTTCATTCTTACCTCCCTGGGAACCCCAAGCAGCATCTAGGCTGTGGGAGTAGGAATTGGCCAGGCTACAGACCCTCTGCTACCCACGCAGTCCTTAGAAAGAACCTGCACCCCCAGCTGCAACCACTGTGTATTGAGTTTGCATAGACAAGCACCCACTGGCCCTTTCCTCTGTGTAGGGTGCTGTTCTAAGAGCCCCATGCTTACCAGCTTGCTAAGACTGCACCATTATTAGGGAGGTGGCACACAGCTGTATTCCCAGTCCTGGGAAAACTGAGACAGGTGGATTGCCTCAAATGTGTAGCCAGCCTGGACTATGTAGTGAGTTTAAGGCCAGCCTGGGCTAAAGAGTGAAACTCTGTGTCTCCAAACTTCAGTAGCTTTTTGAAGATGGTTACTGTCACTACCTATTTTACAGATGGGGAAACTGAGGCCCAGAGAGACTAAGTTCTAGTTTGAGTTTGGGTAAGTAGTCAGTGTCAGAACTGGGATTAAGCCTGAGACATTCTGACACTGGAATCTGTCACAGTTGTGACACTGGCTTCTAAAATACATTTAGAAATCTCAGTGCCAGGCACAGTGGCGTGAGCTTGTGGCACTAGGCAAGGCAGACCTGCTCCCTTCTGCTGACATCCTGCTAGGCAGGTGACATGAAAAGTAACACAGATCTCTTTAGATAACCACACAGATGGTGACAGATATGAGGTGCAGGGTTCGTGGTGTGACTAGATGCTTCTGGGGACCACTCAGGGTCAGGATTACTGGATGCAGCAAACAGGAACACAGGATGCTTTTCAGGTATATGTTAGTCCCATATGCAGTATTAGGGATGTGCCTTATACAATGGCTTGTGTGTGCCCTTCTCTGGGCCCAGGTCTTACTATGGTTTGGAGCTGATAACGTCTTCTTCTGGGTATTTTCACAGCTGTGACAACCCACATGGCTCCCCTGGTAGCTGGGTACTCTTAGTCCACAGCTGTATGCCCTTACCCACCACATCTGTGTGTCTAGCCATGTGTCTGTCTGCCTTCCTAGAAGAACACTTAGCTCCTCTGCCCCCAGGAGAGGCAAACCTTACACACAGGGACTTGATGGTGTCAGAGCAGGGTCTATATCCACAGACCAAGGCCTGAGCTGTGGCTGGGCAACTTGCTGTGAGGGCAGTGGGTGACTGAACTAGATCTGAGGAAGGGGGGGTACTTAGTCAGTGTTCCATTGCTTTGAAGAGACACCCTGACCACAGCAACTCTTATAAAAGAAAACATTTAATTGGGGCCGGCTTACAGTTTCAGAGGTTTAATCCATCTTCATCATGACAGGAAGCATGGCGGCACACAGGCAGACATGGTGCTGGAGAGGTACCTGACACCTACATCCAGATCTGCAGACACCAGGAAGAGAGTGACACAGGGCCTGACTTGGGTTTTTCAAATCCCAGAGCCCATCCCCAGTGGCACACATCCTCCAACAAGGCCACACCTCTTAATTCTTTCAAGTAGTGCCACTCCCCAGAGTCTAAGTGTTCAAGTCTTGCGAGCCTGTGGTGGACATTCTTATTCAAGCCACTATGGTGCTACTTACTACTCCTAGCTGCTCCAGGCAGCAAGTTTGGGCCCTGCCCTTTGGGAAAGCTTAAGGAAGGGATGATCTTAGAGACTGTCTTTTCCCTTACTTCCCTCTCTGCACCCGTAGCAGACATTACCCAATCAATCACAATGTTCTGTCTCTGAGTTCTTAGGGGTTCCCAGAGTGCCACCATCTCCAGCTTCATTGCCATTGACTGGGGTTGCCATATAGGAAGAGCCAGACCTTTCCTTGTCTTCTGGCCTGGCTCATGGTGTAGATGGAGGCAGCAGGGAGATGTCACTTTGTTATGTTTGAGCCTTGAGCTTTGCATTTTCTTCTTAGAAGATGATTTTGCACCCAGTCAGCAGCTCACCTGTCATTCCAGCTTCAGGGGCCTGATGCTCTCTTCTGGTCTCTCTGGATTCAGTGTTCATGTATGTGAGTCACAAGAGAAGCGCACGCACACACACACACACACACACACACACACACACACACACACAAAGACTGGTCAAGAGGATCTTTATTATCTTTGACAAAAGCAGTAACTTAGGCTTCATTGAATAAAGGTCTATTTTTGGCACATGTCAGCAAAATAAATCTTTTGGGGTGTGACTTAGTTTCAGGCATCACAAGATCCAGGTACCCTATGACATTTTTAGGATCATTTTTCTCTGTCCTTGGTCTGTTTCCCATGTATTGGTTTTATTCTTAGAGGGTAGTGGTGGTATATAGGGGCATCTCTTATGATGGCTGAGGTAGCCCGTATGTCTCTTCCAGAACACCATGCTTCTTTAAGGACCTCTGTTGGTCACCCTTGCCAGGACAGGGAACTCTCTGATTGGCTGCCTATCGATCACTCTTCACATCACTGAGAGAGTACCAGATGAAAACAATTTAAGGAGAAACTTTGATTTTGGTTCACGGTTCAGAGGATGACATCCACTTTTGGTGGGACAAGCATGGTGGATCAGGAAGCCGAGAGCTCTGGCTAAAAGCAGGGCCTGGCTACATCCCTCAAGGCCCATCCCTTGCCTCTCAATTCCCCTGGCCAGGCCCTACCTTTAGAACCTTTAGAGGTTCTGCAGTCTCTCCAAACACTCTTGCCCGCTGGAGACCAAGTGCTTAAAGTTGATCCCGCGGGGGGGACGTTAAACCTTCCTGACCCTTGCTTTTGTCTGTCAGTATCTCTGTGGGCTGCACAGGTTGCAGGTAAAGGTGGGGTCTCCTCAAATCAGTGTGGTTCTGTGCACAATAAATGCTGATTATAGTGTTTTGAGTATGTAGCTTGAGTGTTGTAATGCCCAGATGGTTAGATTCACCCCACGGTGTGTGTATGTGTGCATGCTGGGTAATGGTGGAGTTTCTTATGTTGGTCCTTTTCCAACAGTTTGTATTTGTTGCTTATGCTCTTTGTAGCCACTTCTTGGAGGGTACCTGGAGTGCCCTGCAGGGTTTACCACGTGCCAGCCTTTTCCCTCAGCTCACACATATCAGTTAATCCTCCAGCAGCCCAGATGTCAGGAACATGTTATTCATAGAAATCAAGGAGGTTTGGGGGGGGTGTGGCGCTCCCAGGGCAGGGTCACTGCTGCTTAGGCAGTGTGATACTGGGTGTCCCTCCTCACAATGCTTCAGAGATCCCTCAGAGCCTGTTGATTTGTGGCTTGAGGTTTCTATCCTGGGCATTGCCCCCAGCTGCCATGCCTGTCCCATGCTGTGACCTTGAGAAGCCATTGGTTGTGTGTGTGTGTGTGTGTGTGTGTGTGTGTGTGTGTAGGTCTAGGATCTATGAGGTTTTAGATCCTGGTTCTGTCCCATCAGGAGCTGTGAGGTGACAGAAAAGTTTTCTCCTTGCTCTTTGGGTGGATGGGTCAGTACTAACCTCATGAGGTTGTGGCGAAGAGTGACTGTCTACAGTCACTGAGACTGCAGAGTGGCCTTGACCCAGTGCTTAGCCCCTACTTGATGTGGCTGTTGCCTCTAGCTATAAGGCTGTTTCTCAGGACGGACACTCAGGTCTGTGGAGTGCAGTGCACTTGTGGCAGGCTGAGACTCCTGTTAGTTTGGAAACCCCCGTTCTTCCTGCATTTCCCTCTTCTGTCTCCCTCCCAGGCTTTTGTGGAGGAGTTGGTCCCTGTCTTGCTCGTTCTTCTGTCTCCCTCCCCCATCTTCCTCCTTGGGCTTCCTCTTTCCTGTACCCTCTGTAGGAAGCATGGGCTGCTGCGGCCCCTTTAGAAACAGGATGAGCCACTTGCCCTGCAGACCCACCTCTTCCTTCCTTAGCTTCTCGGGGTCTCTGGTCCATCCTTTACCTCTGATCCAGGATCTGCAGGCCTTCATCCCCCAAGGGGCCTCCCCAGGACATCCTTGTTTGGGGCTTGGCTAATTCTAGAACCCTTTTGGAGTGAGGAATGTGTAGCCGAAAGTTTCCTCCTGAGAAGGTTCTGTTCTGTTCAGTTCTGAAACCGTGACTGGTGGATAAGGACCTGGTGACCCTTAGGTGACTTCTGGGCTGGAACGAGACCATCTTTGGGCTCAGGGTCATCTAGAGGTCAACAGAGGTAACCTCCTGTTGTAACAACTTCCTGACATTTATTAACATCACCTTGCTCTTGAGGACACCAAGACCCAGAGTGGAGGTGGGACCTTAGGTTCACAGCTATTGGTGTCCAGGCCCAGATCCCTTTGCTTAGTCCTTGTCCTGGACCCTCATGTTGTACTTCCTGCCTCCCGTCCCCAGAAGGTCACCCAGGCTGCTAGAGAGTGAGACAACTGAACCCAGCCCTGAAGCTTTATCTGGAAGCCTGAGCCTGTAGCCTGCCCAAGGCCCCAGGGAGTCCCCTCCTCCTGCCTGTGTCCTGCCTCTCACAGCTCTGCCTTGTCTTACAGAAGGACAAGTTCTGTGTGTACGAGGAGTACTGTAGCAACCACGAGAAGGCCCTGCGGCTGTTGGTGGAGCTCAACAAGGTCCCCGCTGTGCGCGCCTTCCTCCTGGTAAGTGCCCCCCCCCCCATCTCTCCATCCATCCCCTGCCTGCCTGAACTGCCCACTGCTCCCATTTGAGAATTCCCTGGGCTATTTACAAAAACAGGCAGTGGCCAGATGAGAGTCAACTGCCAACTTCTGGTCTAAAGTAATAGTAAGGGATCAAAGTGGGTTCTGGGGATCAAACTCAGGGGCAGGCTTGGGCACCAGTGCTGTCACCTGCTGATCTGTCTTGCTTGCCCCGCCTTCCACCTTTTGAAGCAGGCTCTTACTCTGAAGTTCACACTGTTAGGATTCCTGAGGTAACAAGCATGCGCCACAATACTTGGTAAAATGTAGGGTTTAATGTTGGTCAGCCCTGTGACCAGCAAAAATTTCTAAGAAGACATTAGGACAAACACCCCCCGCCCCCCAGTCTTTGCCAACAGTAGGTTTGGGAACTTCATGATGTCAAGCACCTCTCGGTCTGAGTCTGAAAAGGGCTCCAGTCCTGCTCTGAGTCCCGGTATATTCGGTCAGAGACACCCCATTCCATGTTGCCATTTTCCGTGGGAATGTGGAACTTGGCTTATGGCGTGGAATGGTTTGATGGTGTAGCTGGGAACTTGAGCTCACAGGGATCCAACCTGCACCACGGCACCCCGCCCCCCATCATCTCTGCGCACAGCCTCCGGTCAAGCATCCCCAGGCCTTTGATGCAAACATGGCATGTATTTCCTTCACTGGTGAGTTCCTACTGCCTGGCCCAGGGCCAGTGAGCATCTGAGGAGGCAAACTGGCCAACTCTCTTCCATTTTTGTCTTCAATTCATCAAGCTTTTGTGGCCGGTCCTACCCTACTCCAGCCCTCTGCACCTTTGAACTTTGCTCAGGAGGTCACTCTGCCCCCGTCTGTGCCTTTCACCACCTCTGTCCTACCTCAGTCCCTGCTGCCTAGACTCTACCTGTGGAGGATGTCCCCGGCCACATGAGGGGTTCTGGGAGGCAGGAAGAAGGCAGGAAGGTGAGTAGGGCATTGTAAAGGAAGAGGCCCCCTTCTCTTCCTTCTCATGCTGCCTTCCTGGTGGGCCAGGCTGCCCCATTCTGGCAGCAGCTGCCCGGGGGCTGTGTAGACAGGGAGGAGTGTGGGGTGTTGCCATGTGCCATCTGTTTCCCTCCTTGCTGGCATCTCACAGCTTCTGGCCACCTGCAAAAGAACTGTCATGGGTGTTATGGGAGGTGACTGTGTTGGGAACAGACAAATTGGCTGAGATGGACTGTACACTTGCTGAGGGACTCGGGAACTCTGACTTTCTATGTCCCTGTTTTTGGATCTATTAAGTGGTTGATTCATGAATTCAGTCAGTGGCTTTGTGTTGAGAGTTTGTCAGCTTGAGGGGCTGGATCGGTGTCTGACAGGTACCGAGGTGGACAAGGCAGATGCCTCTGCCCTCATGGGGACAGTCCAGCTACAGAATCCTAAATGATGTATTATGTGGCCTTAAGTTCTCTGAAGGAGATCCGGTGCTGAGGATCGCGGGATGTGTGAGGGAAAGAAGGAATGGCTGCTGTTTTAATTTGGTCTTTGGGATAATGGTATCTAAGGTGACAGTGAAGCAGGACTGTGGATATGGTGGGAGAGAAGCAGGGGTCATTACCAGGGAGAGATTTCCAGGTGGGAGAAATGCAGTGCAAAGGCCTTGTGGTAGGTGTTTGGGGAGATGGCAGGAAGGCTGGAGGACAGAGGGGTGAGCCTGAGGGGAAAAGGAAGAAGAGAAAAGGCCAGAGGTGAGAAGAGAACAGTAGCACTGAAGGATTTCATCTCCACAAAGAGTGCAGGACCCAGAAAAGCCTCAGGGAGTTGGATCATCTGTGCACTGAGTGCCCTCCATGTGGGGTCTGACCCATGATCAGCAAGCTCCATCCCCAGGGAGAGCATGGTGGGATTCCAGAGACTAGCAGTGTCACTGTGGGTGGAGTGGGATGTCGTGGAGTTACGTAGAGGATGGCTCAAATGAATTTGTGTGGGAAAGAAAGGTCCCTTGGCTTTGTGAGGTCGGAGCAAGGTTAGGCACATCTCTTCAGGTCACTGAATGAATATTTACCATATATTAGCAGCTTTAAATGAGACCATGTGCCCCACTTAGTGTAGGAAATTAGAGGCTCAAAATCGAGGGGTCTCAGGCCCCGCTCCCTTGGAGCCCTCCAGGAAAGCCGTCCTCCCTCCTCCAGCCCCAAGTGGTCCTGTCTTGAGCCCCTCACACCATTCCCATCTCCTACTTCCATGGCCTCCCTGCATCTTCTCCTCTTACATAACTTCATGTCCTCTCCTTGGCCCATGACTTCATTCCAGCCAATCACATCTGTGGAGATCCTGTTTCCAGATATTGTGTCTGGGTGGGGGTGGCATTCGGGGGTAACATCATTTAGCACTACTGCGACAGTCTGGGCAAAGGCATGCTGTCCAGGGGCAGGAGTTGGGCCAGTGTCTATAGAGAATGAAAACCCAGTTGATAGTCTCTCTGAGAACTGGTTTTGGGATGTCCATGAAGCAGAAGGCCCCAAGATGACGCCAGGACAAGGTCTACTCTGGTTTTCCTTTCTATCAGGGCAAAATGCTGTGGCAGAGGCAGCAGCAAGCTTTGTTTATTAAAATACAAGTGAAATACCGCTGTATTTCCCTTCTGTCTGAAATAAAAAGATGGCTATAACTAATATAAGAAAACTATGTATAATAAGTACAATGGCTATATACAATACATAGAGACAATAAACGCATCAACAATGTGTAATCCATTTGCACTTGACAAATTCAGAGAAAATATTTCCTATCTATCCTATTTTGGCGAGATAAAGTCTTATACTTAATTTACTTTCTGTCACAACTTGCTTTCTATATCTGGTAAACAAGGAAAGCTATTTAGTCTTCAACTCCCACAGAGACCCAAGAAGGACATAATATTAACCGAGTAAGCTGAAAGTACTAGCAAGCTACTTCCATTAAAAAAAAAAATGTGAGTAGTGACAGAAACAGCTGGCTGCCTGGGCAGTCACTCAAAGTTCCTCTGCAACGATAGGGCCTACAGACCTAGCCTAAACTCACAGTTCCAGGGTCCAGTTTGTCACTGTGGGGAAGTCAAGGCTGGAACTTAAAGTAGCTGGCCAGCTGGTCACATCACATTCCCAGTCAAGATTAGAGAGGGAACAAATGCATGTGGTGCTTAGCACCCAGCTCTCACCCTCCACTCCTAAACAGTCTAGGCCACAACCTAGGGAATAGTACTGCCCTCACTGGGTTGGGTCACTCCACATCAGTTAGTATAGTTGAGACAATTCCCCACAGGCATGACTACAGGCCAGTCTGATCTAGACAGTTGCTCATTGAGACTGTTTTCCCAGGTGAGCCTAGGCTGTGCCAAGCTGACAATTAAAAGTAAGCATCGCAGAACCCTAACATTTGGTCGACTAGAGTAGCTTTGCCCTCAGATGGTGAGGGCTGCACTGGGAACAGGGGAGCAGGATTACCCTTTTAGTTGAGAGACAAGGCATGTAGGGGAGCCTGAAGCCTGGAGTGCAGGGAAGGGGCTAGGCTGGAGGAGGGAGCTGGACATTCTTCAGTCAAGGCTGCTCTAAAGCCATGGGTCTCAGTGTGGTCTACACCTGGGAAGTTAATGTGGCTAGCACAGAGGGCCAGGATGGCCACAGGGTGACACTAATCTGAGGGTCATAGACATGTATGGGTTTTGAGGAATTCTGTCTCCAGGCCCCGGAGAGGCAGGAGAGCAGCGAACACAGCCCGTACCTTTGCTTGCTTTTCTTTCAAATGAAAGTCAAAAGAGGATTGGATGTAGCTCAGTTGGAGTGCTTGCCCCACATGCATTAAACCCTGAGTTCCATACCTAGCACCACGTAAACAGGGCATAGTGTCGCATGCCTGTAATCCCAAGACTCAGGAGATGGAGGCAGAAAAATTAGAAATTCAAGGTTGTCTTTTCCTACACAGTGAGTCCACAGCTAGTCTGGGACACATGAGACCCTGTCTCAAAAAAGATTTTGGAACTTTGGGAAAGGTGGTAGCTGTGGCCATACTGTTTGAGTCTGAAGGGCTTTTGACCATTCCCTGCCAGTCTCCTGGGCTTCTGGAGACTTCTCTCTCCTCCTCAGCTCTCTGTTCTTTGCCTGGAGCTGACATCACCCAGGCAGCTTGGGGTGAGCGCTGGCTTAGAGGACAAAGGCCCAAGTGTGCACAGTGTGGGGTCTGGCATCACCCAGCTGCCTCAGCCAGGGCCCCTTGTCTGTGCCAGGGACAGATGCAGAGGCTGAGGCCATATAGGCAGCCACAGCCGGGTCCCAGGGTACAGAATTGCGCTTCTCAGAGAAGAGAGTCTGTGATGATGCCCAGAGGGCAGTTGGGCATCCCCGGTACTCAGGCCAACTGAGGGTGCCACGGCTTCCCATGGAAAATGGAGACGGCCAGCACACTTGTTCCTGAGGCTGCTGCGTGTGTGCATCTCTAGAATATGCTGAGAACACAGGGAACCATAGATGGGAGTTCTGGTTCCTGAGAGTCTGGGTTCATTTCTCTCTGCAGAAGAAGAATGCTAAGGTGTTGGTGATGCCATCTTTCCTTAGTTTGCTGACTTAGCTATGTGTGTATACACTACACACTGTGAGCCTAAGGTACTAAGACTGTCCACCTCAGATATGAAATTCATGCTTCCAGCATCTGCAACGTGAGTTCTCTTGTCAGAACCCCTCAAATGGGGGACACTGCCTGTGACACGGAATGAATGGCCTACTGTGTTAGTACTAGGTGGAGGAGTCTTGACAGGGACTGGGGAGATGGTAAAGTAAGTCAGAGCCTGCACTGGACCCTGCACTTGCAAGAAGCCAGGTGTGGCAGGACATCTGTGATCCTAGCGTTGGGGAGGTGGAGACAGAAGGACCCCTGGGGCTCATTGTGAAGCCAGCCTAGCCAAATCAGTGTGAGTTCCAGGTTCAGTGAGAGACCCTGTCTCAAAAAAGGTGTAATCCACATGTGACAGCACACACCTTTAATCCCAGTACTTGGGAGCCAGAGGCAGGGGCATGGCCAGTGGCAGGTAGATCTCTGTGAGTTCAAGGCCAGCCTGATCTGGCCAGAGTTCCAGACGAGTCAGGGATACGTAGTGAGACCTTATCTCAAAAATAAATCAGTAAATAAATATAATAGAAAATGACAACTTGGCGTTGACCTCTGGCCTCAATACACACTTCTAGTAGCGTGCACAGCTGTAACCTCCATCTGTGACATACTAGTCCAGGAGTTAAGGGCTGGACACCCCAGACTCCAGTGTCTGAGCTGTGACCTGACAGAGTTACAGTCTCCAGTTCTTGGCTAGTTGGAGGTCAGGCTTCGGGTTGTTGTCACATACACAGATCGTGATTTTAAAAAAAGAAATCATTGTTGGGGCAGGAGAAGGCTTTGTGGGCCGGGCCCAGCATGAGCAGAGAGTCAAGGTGGCACATGGAGGCAGGGCTGTGCTGGAGGTGGTGGCAGGAGTTCTGGTAACCCTTGTAGAATCCTGGTTTTGAACTCTGCCTGTTGAGAAGCATTCACGTCTCCCCATTTCACTGGTAAGTCCCCAGTTCATAGCCTGCTGCTTCATCTTTCTTTGTTCTTCATGAATAGCCATTTGGGGCCTGGAGACATGGTACAAAGGCCAAGAGTTCATATTAGTCTTCCAGAGGACCAGAGTTCGGGTCTCACAACCCTCTATAATTCAAGGTACAGGGGACCTAAGACTCTCTTCTGGCCTGTACCGGCACCTGCACCCATGCGGCATCTAGTCACTCAGACACACATGTACAAGTGAAAACAGAAACCAGCAGAAAGCAGACAGCAGTTGGGTTTCTTTTCCATGCCTCTAAACAACTTATAAATGGGGTTGTGCTGTCCATGACCTTCTGTTCTTCTGTCTTGCTCCAGTAGGTTTTGGGGTTTATGTGTGCTGCTATGTCAGCCCTGGTTCTCCCATGTTCCCTGATGTTTGGGATGCTCTTGTATGAATCTGCTACACATCAATTTAAACAAAAATACATATGCTTTATTTCTCTAGGAGAGGACTATTTAGGGTGATTCTTGTGGTTGGCCAACCTAAATAAGGTAGTGTGACTGTCCCATCTTCCTGTCTCTTGGTGTGCGTGCGTGCGTGCATGTATGCATACATGTGTCTGTGCATGTATGTATGTGTTAAATTTCTCTAGACCAGAATGACAAATTTTTCTATAAAAGGCTCCAGAGCCAGGGGTTTTGGACTTGCAGTTCTGTGGTTCTTCTTAACTCCTGAGGGACTGTGTGTGGTGTGACCTTATAAAGCAGCACCTGAATGCTGAATGCTTTATGAGTGAAATCAGGCCCTAGGCCACACTGTTCGACCTCTATAAAGACTCCTACAGGGAAGCCTGGCGAGGTGGTGCACACCTTTAATCCTAGCACTCAGGAGACAGAGACAAATGGATCTCTGTGAGCTAGAGGCCAGCCTGGTCTACAAAGTGAGTTCTAGGACAGCCAGGGCTACACAGAGAAACCCTGTCTGGAAGAACAAACAAACAAGACTCCTGCAGGGTTCTAGAGTTGGCCCCTCTGTTGGTTGCTGAACTGCCTCCTGAATACCTACCTACCTATCTTCAGTATGTTTAGAGAGTTCCCATACACCCATGTTGTCCTTGGCCCCTATTAATGACGGTCTTGTGGTCTTGTGTCCCTTTATAGAGCTGCATGCTGCTGGGAGGCCGGAAGACCACGGACATCCCTCTGGAGGGTTACCTGCTGTCCCCCATCCAGAGAATCTGCAAGTACCCACTCCTGCTCAAGGTGAGACTCCTTGGTCCTGTCCCCAGGCAAAACCGGCAGGCCATGCCAGGCCCACCGACAAACTTCAGGAGCTGTGGCAGAGTTGGCCCTGGGCCAGGCCGGACCCACGCCGGCCCCTGCCTCTTTCTCTGCAGTTCTCTGGGCTTCCATGCCTCTTGTCATCTCTGTTGAGGCAGCAGATGGCTGTTGGCATCTGGACTCACACCCTGTCAGGTTTAAAGTCAGTAGGAGGCCCCGAGCTTCTCTCTTGGAGTTCTGATGGACAGCCCGAGAGTCACTCTGGCTGTGGCCAGCCATCTGTGGCTAAGGGAACGGTATATTCCAAATGGTTTGGATTTGAGTCATGTGGTTTGACATGAACCAATTACAGGAAACTTTGGCTTGGACCACTGATCATCTTCCAACCTGCTTAGACCCTCGCTTTTCCTTTGAACTGGTCTCTAGCCACTGGGTAGTGCTGTGCTCTGGTTGGCTGAGATGGGCCCTGTCTTAGGGTTTCTATTGCTTGATGAAACACCATAACCAGAAAGCAAGTTGGGGAGGAAAGGGTTTATTTGGCGTACATTTCCACATTGCTGTTTGTCACTGAAGGAAGTCAGGACAGGAACAAGGCAGGAGTTGGTGCAGAGGTCATGGAGGGGAGCTGCTTATTGACTTGCTTCCCGTGACCTGCTCAGCCTTCTTACAGAACCCAGGACCACCATCCTAGGGATGGCACCACCCGCCATGGGGCTGGGCTGAGCCCTTCCCCACTGATCACTAATTGAGAAAATGTATTACAGCTGGATCTCATGGAGACATTTCCTCAGCTGAGGCTCCTCTCTTATGACTCTAGCTTGTGTCAAGCAGACACACAAAACCAGTCACTACAGGCACCCACATTCTGCTCTGCTCCAGGGACAGTGTGCAGAGTTGGACTATGTTCTGATTGGCTGAGATTTGGATCAGGTGCTCAGACTTGAACCTTAAGCCAGTTACTAGAACCCATATGCCACAGACCCAAGGAGGGACAGACAGGCTGGCACCAAAACCTGGGCTCTTCCTGGAGGGCATAGAATGACTTGGCACAATCATCCATGCATCTGCTGTCACATTCCCTGCTAGCCTCCTCGGTCTGCCCTTGGCTGAGCAGTTCAGGGTAGACCTGACCCTAGACCACTCCAGTCTCAGCTTCAAAATCAGCAGTTGGGCAGGTCCCAAGCTATGTGGCTGACTTTATTCCCATCTGCTGCTCAGTCCTGCTGTCCCAGGCCTTACAAATGATGATGGCTGTTGGCTAGTGCCAACCTTGGCTCTGTCCTGAGGCCTGTCTGATAGTGGTTCTTGGGCTCCCTGCTGGCAAGTTAATACACTGCTTGTGTCTCGTTCATGAACCTGCTCATAGGGATCATCCGTGTCCTTGTTCTGTGAATTGGGAGGGTAAGGAAGGTGCTCCGGAAATCTTAGTCATCACTTTGTGCTGGAGAAGGTGGGTGACCTGAAACATCTGAACTGACAAGATTCTGGGTCTGTCAGCAGTGCTGGGGTCATAATTCTTGTATGTGTTCTGGGGGATATGTAATGAGTGGGTGCCAAAGACCCAACCTTGGATATATTTATGGGGAGCCATCTACCTGTTTTTGAGATACAGTGTCTTTCTGAGGTGCACTATTGGGCTAAACTGACTGACTGTTGAGCCCCAGAAACCTGTCTGCCTGTCTCCGCTTTCCCAGTGATGTGATTATAATCGTGTCGCCGCGCCTAGCTTCTATGTGAGTGCTGAGGATCAAACTCAGGACCTAGTGCTTACACAGCAGGACTGAGCCATCTCCCCAGCCCAGACACTATGCTCTAACGTAGGAAGCCGTGGCAGTGGACTCAGCAATCCCTGTGCCTCCTCCAGCTCTCAGCTGCTTGTACCTCTGAGGGAGTCCAGTGGAAGCTCAGCCGTGTCCTCCTGTGGCTCCAATGATCACACAGGCAGTGGACAGTCTGGACTCAGAAGCTGCAAGTGGAACCGGACTCCAAGAAAAGACACCCTCTCTTTTGCATTCCCACTGATCCTAGTGCTCAGGCAGACATACACTGTGAGCTTTAGAGAGAGGATTGGTGAGACCAGGGCTTGGTGACCAGATCCAGCCAGAAAAGTTTGTTCATGCAACTTGTGAGCTAAGAATGGGACTTGCGCTTTTGCAAAGCTTTCAACCAGAGCAAAACCACTACCAAAGAACCCCAGACCAACCAGTGTGTGCTAGAGGATCTGGTGCTGCTGGCTGAGCCTGGCTGTGTGCTCTGTGTCCCTATCTGGCTCCTTGCTGCTCCTGCTTAAGTGCTGGGCTCTATAGCCATGGCTGCCTGTGTCTGAGTTTCAGCTGTGTGGTTTATTAGCCCCGGTTCTTGAGGAAATCTGGCCACTTCTTATGCCTCAGTTTCCTCTTTGTGATTCTGGATTTGTTATAAAGTGCCGTGCAGCTTGGTCGGGAGGGCAGATGAGGCCATCGGGACACAGAGAAAGGGAAATGGCTGTCCCAGACCACAGGAGCCAATACTGACCAGTCTCATTTTAGAGTCTTAGCCCCGTCTCCAAAGTGGCACATCTGTCAAAGAAGCATGCCTGGGAGCTAAGTCACCACGGTGCTTGAGGGTGAAGCCTGCAGTACTTGTCACTTCCCTAAATGGGGCCTGAGAACATTGATGGCTTCATGGCTCAGTGGCGAGTCTGCTTTTCTGGGTTTTAAGCCTTGAACATCTGACCTTTGAGGGAAAACTCTCACCTGCAGCCCCAGAGCTGAGTTGAATTGTTAACCCCTTGGTTTCTAAGTCTTGACCAAGTCTGGGGTCATAGGAGTTTGTACAGAAGCAGATGCTGTGATACATGTCAACTCATGAGGAAAGACCCGTGTGGCCTCGAAGCCTGGTGGACCTGAGGCCTGTTCCCTTTTTCTCTAGGGCCTGGGGTTTAGTCCCAAAGGACTCCTGTCCCAGGAAGATGGAGGCAGCTGGGGCAAACCGCTGGCTGCCTCTGCAGGAAGCACCCACAGGAAGTGGTGGAGGCCTGGCCGTGCCCTTTTGACAGCTGTGCACACTGCTGCTGTCTTCTCTCTCTCCAGCTGTGTGTATTGGGAGCCTGAAGGCTGCTGGGGACCAGCCAGCAGGGCCTGAGATTCCTATGGGGACATGCATGCTCTCTGACCAGACAACCGTTCGGTGTCCCCGCCTTAGCGTCCACTGCTGGAACATTTGTATCAGCGAGCAGCAGGGGCCGAGGGCCTTTTACACCCTCCCGGGGCGGGGGCTCCTTTGCTCACAGTTTCCAGGCCATTCTAAAAGATGACCCTGTTCACGCAGCAGCTGACTCCAACCCCAGCCTGCTCCCTCAGTCATGCAAACATGCACCCACAGATGTCCTCAGTTCTCTGAGCCTCCTTGTTCTCACTGAACTCCCAATGGTGCAGGCTGCAGGCTTGGGGAGCCTGGGGTGGGGGATGAATAGTGAAAGCCTTTTGGGAACAGCCCCAAAAGCTGAACTTGAACATTGCCTAAGAATAGCCAGAACATTCTATTTTGGCTCCTGAACCCGCGCTCTGGATAGACTGTTGGCGTTTTCAGCCTTTATTGAGTTTTCCATCAATGTTTCCAGGGAGATGATTCAGAGCCCAGTGACGTCTTGATGTGTGGTTAGCAGGTCCCCCGGGGGAAGCCAGCTGATATTGGCCCTTTTGATGGCACCTGGCCTTTGCTGTGACCCTGCTTGTCCTGGCTGCTGACATGGCCCTGGGTCCACACCTGGAACAACAGACTCTAACCTGACCTTGAGGCTTCCAGATCTTGGTGGGTCTACAAGGATTTTGGAGTATCCTGGGATGAGCAGGAGGTCCTAGGTGACCGAGAGGGACCTTGGCCACTAGTTCCTGGTCTCCTTTGCTCCTTATGCCCCTGACCTCTGATATAGGTGCCACTGGCTCCATCATGGGCTCTTTGCCTTGTCTCACTAGTGAGTTGTCTTCATCCATTGTGACTTACAAAGATAATTGCAAGTATATTCACAGATTGAGCCACCAAAACTTACAGTAAGCCTGCAGTGTTTCTATCACCCTAGAAGTAGGCCCCGCCCTCTGAACAATGTGTACCCATCTCCTTCTGCCTCCTTCCACCTCCTCCTCTGTCTCTGAATTTACTTTTCTAGATGCTTTATACAAAAGGAGTCATAAATCTTATCCTTGTGTGTCTGGCTTTTTTCATTTGGTATCATGTACTTCACACTGTGGCATGGGTTCATAGTTCATTCCCTTTTCATGACTGAGTAGCACTCCCCTGTAAGCTGGGCCACGCCTTACTGTCCATTCATTGGCTGGTGGACATTTAGAACACTGCCATGACCATCCACAGCTCTCAGCACACACGTCCCTGTTCTCCACATGCTGACTCTCATCCTCCCCAGCATGGCTTCCCTCCCAGTCTACCTCCGGTCTCCATCCCAGGAATCAGCCACTTCATCCTGGAGGCTTCTCAGGACAAACTTTGGGTCATCTTTGGCCCCCACTCTCCCTCACTCCACTCCAGCTGGTGAAGAAGCCCTGTTGCCTGCGCTATGGAGTTTGCCCAGGGCTGGCAGCTTGCTGACTCCTGCACTCTGCCTCTCCTGAGGCTACCCCAACACCAGCGGGCCTCCCTGCCTTTACCTCCACCCTTACTGCTCTCATATTGGATCTTCCCTGGGGTGTGCCCAGATCACCTTTCCAGGGTCCTGCTCCAATTTCTCTCTGCCACCTTTTAGCTGTGTGACCGGGGAGTTTGCTGGACCTCTCTGTTTTCGCTTCCCCCGTGGAGATGGTGCTTACAATTCTGGTTTTCTGTGTGGATTGGACAGTGTGTGGGAGACTTGTGTTGGCACCCTGAGTGTGTCACACCCGGGATGTAGTCTCTGATGCTGTCAGCTCTTGCTAGATGTCTGAGATGTGACTGGGCTTCGGTTTCCTAGTGTCAGTAGTGTAGTTATAGTTATTGTAAAGAGGACGGAT